ATACACGATGCCGACAGTCACGGCCAAGCACGGACTCCCAGCGCAAGCGGCGTCTTTGTTGAGTAGCCACACTAGAAGGTACTCAAGAGTTAGACCCATTTCAGAGGTCAGAGGCTTCGCTACAATATATTTATTCGCCACTGACGTAGCTAATTGAGCGTGGTTGTCGAAATTGCTGAGTTTGACAGTGAAGGCTCTTGAGATCACCAGGGCCAATTCGAGCGCCGTAGATGTTCGCCGCCTCCGGTGTCCATCACCACTATCGAATGAAATAAAAAAAATCTACGTAAAAATGCAAGAGCCGCAGTCGGGTACCAAACCGAAGTTTCATGAGTGGAAGTCCATTCTTTTACCGAAAAGCTACGCCATAACAAGGAGCTGAACACTGCACTAATTTTATGTTGGTCGCATATTGGGTAAAAATTTTTGTGTACATGTGAAATAAATTGTTTTAGAACAGTGAAGTAACAACTGTGCGTCAAACAATGTGAATTGTGCAGAGTGCACCGATATGCTCTTGCGCACTTCAAAAGCCTAAGGTATAACTCTTAATTGAGTTATGTTCACCGACATGATTCGGGTAATTTTAGGTAGAGTCAAAATCAACGATTATCGGACTTCACCAGCGTAACTTGAATACGGAGTGTTCCCGCTCATTATCCGGTCAAAAGTTGCGAACATTTGTGAAAAGTGAATGTCGCCAGACAAAAAAAGTTGATAATGTTCGCCCTGCACTTTTCACTACACGCTGAGCAAGAAGCCGCTTTTTTTACAATGCTATTTAGTGAGCTCTTACTTTGCACTTTGTTGGCAATCGGGCAGAGAAATGACCTTCAAGCACTGAAAACAGTGCGTGAAGGTCGCAAGCCAAGTATGCCAATTTGCAACACGGCCAAAAAAAGAAACGCGACAGGGCGTCGTCTGGCGTTTGTGAAAACAGAGGGCGACTTCACCGCATAACTGATTGCTAGCCAGGCAAGATGGTGGACCTATGCACTACTCTTGTCTAGTAGGGACCATATATACTTACGCTTTTCAGAATTGGGCTAATCACTCCGGTTGTCCGGCTAATGAGCGTGCTGCTCGTCAGTAGAGTTAGGCGGAAGGGGGGGCAGTAAGTGTAGTCGGGCCGTCGGCTTCGACGTGCAAACGTCGCAGATTGCTGAGCAAAGGCTGAACGTTGATCACGTCGCATTGAGCAAAACCAGGGAAATGTGTTCACGAACACTCCGCTAGTAGCAGACGGGCTACTAGTAACAGACGCTAGTAGCAGAAGAGGCGTATGGATCACCGCAGGGTGTTGAGGGTACGCGGCACACTGTTCCCACTGACGAACAAAAGGAGGCGGACGGCTGTTGTCATTGTGATTGCGGGAGGGATATGGCGGCTTGATATAGGACATCGGAGGCGAAGTCTAGAAAAAGACTGCCTTGGAAGAGCTGCGCATGGTCAAAACTAGCGGCATTGATGCTTTTGGACGGTGTTTTGCATGGGGGATCTCGGGTGTTCACAGGTACACAAACGCGGTGACAAATTCGTTTGCGTACAGTGACACGGATTTGTTGAAGCAAGATCAGCAGGCAAGAAGTCTTGGCAAACATCGACAGTGGTACCATCACGACATTCACCAGGCGTCCGAATTTCGAATGTGATGCGGCGTGTCATTAGGGCCTCGAAGATTCGGCAGTGCTTGACACATCAGCCACAGACTCAAGACACTTCTTGTCGATGACGAAGCGATAATCGTCTTCCGCAATTGCTTTGGGAGTGTGGCCCACATTGTCCTCTTCCGTCTTGTTGGCATGGGCAGGCTCGCACAATTTCAGTACCCATTCAACGTTCGTTCTGCTAGTCTCACCACAAGCTTGAGCTCCCGCGACATGTTCTCTGCGCGTTTCTTCGTCGTGGGGCCTCCGATGTATTTCTTGATCTCCTCCGTGAATTGGTCCAATGTCGTCGTTGTGTCTTCGTGATTCTCGAACCATACTCGGTGCACTTGAAAAAATAGATTGACGTAAGACAACTGGCTATCGGAATTCTACTCATTGGCTCAGCTTGTTCGTTGATTGCGGCTGAGCCACTCTTTAATGTCATCGCCGTTTTTTTTTCTGTGAAGGTGCGTGGCTCTAGGTAGTGGCAAGGCGACATCCTCATGAACGGCTCTTGGATGTATCCGTTCAAGCTCATTTCATGCGGTAGTGGTGGCAAGCTCACTAGTCCTCGGCTGCAGTGAAGCTCGCACTGTGTCGGTGCCGTCGTTAGTAGACAGTTTTCCTTCAGTCTCGCTTGGCAGTAACTGGCTTACCAAGAAACATCCACCACAATGTGACGATAGAACGTGTTTATTTGCACTATGAAGAATGATTTGGAGAGGTACAACTCAGACTAAAAAAGCGGTCACTGAGCTGCTCGCGAGCCTGTCCCACCTCGTCCTCTTCACGTGCCCACCGAGAGGATGTGTTGATATTAAGAAAGAGATAGGAACCTACATCAAAAAGTGGAAAAGCAAACGCACATATGTGGTTGTGCAAGTGATTTGGCTATTAAAGACAGATATTAATGGACGGTACGAAGAAATAAGGGTTTCCCACGGTTGCTGTGAAGACAATGTGTATAAAGGAGATGTGCGGTTGATGCAAATTTAAGTTACTATTATAATCTCACAATTTCTACGAGAAACAGGATTAAGCGTTGTATGGTGAGCCGAACTACGTAAAAATTGTCACTCAGGCGTAGCAGTTGCTGGCCAGGTCGGCAAGGCTAACGCACTGGCAGCATCACCACCACCCACCACCATTGAGAAATATTATTGGTACGTCACAAGAACTTCCCATTCTCTTCTTTGTTTTAAATGCGAAGTATTTCTTGGCGAACTTCGGCGGCTTTTAGCGCATCTATCTATCTATCTATCTATCTATCTATCTATCTATCTATCTATCTATCTATCTATCTATCTATCTATCTATCTATCTATCTATCTATCTATCTATCTATCTATCTATCTATCTATCTATCTATCTATCTATCAATCTATCTATAGAGCTGTCCTGGCCGTTTGGATAATGGTATCAATACCAAACTTGGTATGACATAACATGACTGTATGACTAGCATAACTGGGTAGTCATAACATAAAAATCTTGACATGGACGTCATGAATGTCATGATTTACAATTCATGGTCCTGCACCTCTTGCGGTGGTTTCATTCACAAGGCATATTGCGAAACTGGTATGGTATAACATGACTGCATAACAAACACAAGCGACAGACCCTAACATAAAAATCTTGACAGGCGTGTCATGTAACCACCTCACAACATGTCACACTCATAATGGGCTCGTGGCTGTTTCGCTAGCTTATCATATATCATATTTGTTATGACGTGACGTGAATGAATGAAGAAAGCATGTGACTAGTGCAAACATGATAATCATGAGATGCGTGTCATGTAACAACTTGACTATATGCCACGCCCATGATGAGCTCGCGACCATTTCACTATCTTCACATGTGCAAAATCCGGTATTACGTGACGCGAACAGACGACATAGGTAAATGACACGTCCTAACATGATGACCATAACAGGCATGTCATGGAGCAACATGACTACGTCCCACACTGGTGATGCGTTCGTGGCCGATTTGCTCGTATCACATATGCCACATTTTGTATTACATCAAATGGATGGAGGACGAAGGTATGTGACTGGTTAAAACATGATAATCATGAGATGCGTGTTATGTATGAACATGACTACATGCCACACCCAAGGCGACTATACACTTCGACGTGACAAAGTGCGCGTGCGCACCTGCGTTCATTTCATTGCGTCACGCCGGCAATGCCACGCCAGGCGCCGATATCCCCCTAGTGAGATCAGTGGATCTGCCCACTGTCTTCCATTGTGGATCTGCCTGCCATATACTGGCAGGCGTGCGCTGCGTTGCTTTGACGCATGCGCGTTTGAACGCACATGGCGTTCCTTTGTCAAGAAGAGAGGTGGACGCGTTGCCGTCTAATTAACGTCGTTGGTGCGAAATGCAGCATGCCGCATATCACGCCGGTTGCCGCCGGGCCGCGCCGACGGACGCTGGTCGCACCGGTCGCGTTTCGCTAGCGTGGCGTCTCTGCGCCCAGCCTCCACGCGCGTCTACTCGAGGCGGAGTATATTGGGCCCTTCACGACGCGCTCACCGCCGTTTCACTAGCTCCACATGTACCAAATTCTATATCACAGGAAGTGAATGGATAACGAAGGTAAATGAGACGTCGAAACCTGATAATCATATTATGCGTTTCATGTAAAGCATAATTACATGCTGCGCTCATAGCGTTCATGTAGCCGTTTCACTAGTTCCACATATACCAAATTGCGTATTACGCTACGCCAATGGACAATGAATGTAAATGACCCGTCCAAGCATGATAATCATGATATGGATGTCATGTAAATCATGGCTATAAGCTACGCTCATAGCACGCTCGCGGCCATTTCGCTAGCTTCATATATAGCAAAGTTGGTTTCAGGTGACGTGAATAGAATGCGAAGGTAAACGACACATCCAAACATGATAATCATGACATGAAAATTATGTACGGCATCATTTACCTCCACCTTGTAACGTTGTGCTCATTTTGAGATGATTTATCAACCTGACTCATTCGCGCTTCGCATATCATTGATTCCCAGTGTACGTTAGATCTGCCAATTTTTTGTTTTTCTATTAAGAAAACCTTTTCACACTGTTGTTACATTTTTTCACACTTCTGATATTTTTATGTGATTGCGCAATCCATTGTTTTACTTCTTCTAACTTAAGCTGACATCCACCTACGTAAGCGAGCTGCCTGTTTGTAACTCCGCAAGAGTTCCTTCTGGAAAACATTATTTTTTCCTGTATGATTTGGTTTTATATTTGGCAAGAAAGCATGCCATGTTGAATGAGTACGATCAATCATGCGTTCGGCTGACGAGATGAAAAAAAGCAGTGATCTTACGTGTCGGGGGGGGTAAGCAGATGGGACGAACATTTCGCTGGAAGGAGATTTCTTCTTTTAGTTGCAGTAGGGCGATGTCATTCAAAAAGTTATTGGCCGTACGATTGTATTGCACGTGGTTGATAATGCGTTCCACTTGAAGCTTCATCGCGTCTTTGTTATTCCGATCAATGAGCCCTGCGCAAAAAGAAGAGGAGGCTGTATTTTCTACCGCATATACCTTTTATGAACAGAAAGCGCGAGTTAAGGAGGATGTGTTGCTACTTCTGTAGAAATGCTGAAAAAATTACGAATGATGACCCTACCGAAAATTTTGGAAATTCATCAGCGATGAAATGACTGAGACAAATCCAAAGTTTTGCTGCCAGTCTTTTGATTTATATTGTCTCTTTTTTCTATACTTGTCTGATGCTTTTTTTTGTATCGCTGGGTCTATATTTAATGTAATGAAATGAGGTTTTTCTCAATTTACTTAAAAACCTATTGTGTTACTCAGTTTTCTTTTAAGGACGTCTTGTATATCTGTCGTTATTAACGCGCTATCCACAAAAATGAATAGTTATAAGCAATTCCCGTTATTCTTGTAGTCATGAAATGACATTCACTTCTGCGGTAAGCAAAGTGTGGTGTGCAGTACACACTACTTCCAGTCAGGTAACGTGTAAACCAGCTCTTAATACCTGCGTACTTCAAGCAAGGAAACATGTAAATACGTGTTCGCAGTTGACATTATGCCTCATAAGACAAAGCTAGCCCTACTTAAATTATATGAGAAATTGTTTTCACACGTGAAGTGTAATAATGGTAACATTTGAAGCTTCTTATGCGTGAACAATGACCGAGGCAGGGATGCTGGTTACCTTCGGTAGTGATGATTGCCTTTGCGGCAACTGGTTAATTGGCTTATGATAGACAGGCATATCTTTAGATGCGAAGCATCTCTTGCTCGAATCCATGTCCGGTGCCGTTGGCGTAGGCGCCAGTGTCCGTGCTCACACTACACATGCGCAGCTCTTTTCCTTCGCTCTCTCCAACAGCTGCCTGTTACTTTCTCCACCTTTCTACGCTACCCCCTCTCACCTCGCAACACTGGCTAAGAAAGCGTCTGCCAACCTACGCTTGCTCCTCCATCTCTTCTAGGCATTCCCTCCGTGGCATTCACACCACTATTGCGCATGCGTGCCCCTCCCTTCTCTCTCGTCTCCTACGATCCCTTCTCTCTCGTCTCCTACGATCTTGCCTCGCAACGCCGATGCAGGTAGGTCCCGTTGGCGAATTTTTCTATTTAGAGAAAAAAAAGGGGGGAGGGGGGGTGACTGCTCGAGCTGCACAACCATTCAGTGGCCACCCTATATATATAGGCACTGGATCTTGACATCCAAGGTATTTATAGTGAAAGATTTCATCTGTACGTTCTTGAACAATAATAATTTGCAGTGTGCTTTTTGACTAACAGCAGGCTGCGGCTGTCTGTCCTCCACCACAGTCTCTTGTCTTTTACTGTTTATTAGCAGCGATTGACATGTTCGAGTCGGAAACACCAGTCTATCACTGCATACTTTGCGCCTACCCAGGTTTCTCTCCTTCTCGACTCCGCAATGGTTGCCAGCCTAAACGCTATCGCCAGTGTGAGCGTTAGCGCCCGCTTCTTCGCATCTACGCATGGTTCTCTTTAGACAGTGGTGGCATAATTTTTCTCACAAGGTAATAATCTATTCAAAAGTGACGTATAGTTGCGGTGCACGCGCATTTGTTGTTTTCTCAACCCACATATTCTGTTTGCTTTCTTCGCTTTCACATTGGAGCGCGCAGAAATGCTGTATAGTTAAATAAGTCTAGGTAGCTAGCTCTCACCAAATAGCTCCGAATTAGTCAGTGTTGATGTAAGAGATGACACATCTTAGTTAAAACTTGAGCTACGTGAACACACGACCACAAATAGAACAAGAGACAAAGATAGGCACACGCACGCCAACTAGCCTGCACCACACAAAGCTTTCAGTTTGCTGCATGACGTTCACCAGCTTAGAGGAGATGGGAGTCACACCACCAACAATAGGTGCAGCCCAAAAGTTTGACACATAATGAAAGTGTCAGAACTCAATCAAAAATAGGTTCATGACCAAGTAACACAACAGACATATAATCCGTCTTATTATAGGGAATATCGTCAAAACTGACTGCATGTCATAATCAAAAAAAGTCAACCTCAGGAAGGATTTAATCATGACGAAAAACACTGCTGTGAGACCTACTTTTGAAGACAGCTTACACTGTAAACAAAAACAAACTCAGCTGGGAGGAATCGGGGAATAATGCGCCCGCTCTTCTCCGGTCACCCCACTCAAACCGGAGTGTACCGGAGCAAATACATTTGTTTTTCGATGTTTTCCTCGGGTAGACACTGGACGAAGGACACTTGAGGAAAACAGGGCCAATACCCTAATTATGCTCCTGTGGTTGCTCCAGAAATGCTCCGGCCCAAGTGCTTTTGCCTCGATGGATGCTCCACAATTGCTCTGGCTCTTCGCTCAGCGACATTCATTGGCTGTTTGGGGGTGACGTAGGCAGCCTCGGCACCGGGGGTCCGTTCCTCACAAACCAACATGGCGCACACCAAGCAGGTGCAGTGAACATTGTGTGAAGGCTTCGGCCGCCTTCGAGAAAAGGAAATCGTTTTGTGCACCTTCTAAATATCACGAGCGACCACAAGCAGCAACGAAAGTTGTCATCGACAGAAGAGAGTTATGAGAACCTTAATCGTGTGGTGGTTACGGGCAGCGAACGACACATTGTGGTCTTGCGAGTGGTGAGCGACTCCGCGGTCGCTGGTGCAGTGCAAAATAAATGAGTGTGCTCTTCTTGAAATATCTGTTATTTTTGTCACGTAGTGCTATGATAGGTAATGATGGTTTTATAAACAAACAGGTTATCAATAATAGGCTAATTTTATGGAACATCAGTAAATGTCAGTGGAAATTTTGATGTGTTGTTTAGCCTACGAGTCTTTTTCTTGAGATAACTTCAGCTATTTTACTTACACCACTCCATTATTTGGAGCACTGATCAGATATGCAATACTGAAAAACGTCATGGTTGCGGGTTGATTTCCTAAAAACTTAATAATTGTTGTAAATAAAGCTAACAGTTTAAAATTTTTTTGGCATTACCATCATACATAAGGGGTAATATTTGTCCGCTTTCCATATTAACAAACGCCGGGTCGAGGTGTACCACGGTGTATAAATTATTTTGATCTATTCTGTAAGGTTTACTAATAAAAGATGAATAATTGAAATCAGCGTTAATTTTTTATCACTGTAGTGGCTTAAGCTAGGACAATTTGTTGGTGCAGATTTTAGAACGGATACATACCCTCGTTTTGTTAAAATTGTTTTGATTGTATTAGTGGTGTCGGAAATATTAGGCACTTGGGGAGTCGTTCCGTTTTCAGGAAATTGAAGAGAGGGAAAAGGGGAGCTGACAAGACCAGTGGCGAGTAATGCGTACAGAAGGGAGGGTCAGGTCACTTGGTGAAACAGGTCACAGAGCTTAGAACAACCGAGCATTGGGTGAGTTTGTATTTCATTGTGGACGGCGTTTTGCGCAAAAACAAAAAAATCTACTAAGAGTAAAATAGCAGAGATGGGCACAGTTTGTACTCTTTTTTCGTGTCCGTATTTTTGCACAAAACGTCGTTCACAAGGATTGTAGGGCGCCCGACGTTTCTGTGGAAAAGAGGGTGGGATTAGGGTAAATGCTTATTTCTGCAACCGATTTGACTGCGCAGCTCAACGTAGGACGGAGAGGCATGCTTATGAAATTGAGAGAAACGAGAGAGCACCGTGCCTACCAAACTGCAGCATTCTTTTGCTGAAGCTTGGTGGGCACGATTGCTTCCGATTGCTCCCGACAGAATTGCTCCCGACAGCGGGAGTAAACACTCTTTCAGAGGCCCGGAGCAAAAGTTCATCCGAGTAGGGGGGACGCTAGATTATAAGCATTTTCCTCCCACTTCAGAATAATTTGTTTTGCAGTGTAGAGGCACCTTATTTATATAGCTTGTCGTTTTACGAATATATCTTATTGGCTTTCAGCAATACAGATATTAAAAGTCCACTTCCATAAGAATATAACTAGAAGTTCGAATACCCCTTAAACGCCCGTTTTTTTTTTCGACAAGAAACAGATCGGCGTCATTTGGTGAATGCGCGCACGGACATTCATGAACCGTCGTGAACTAAAATTTGAACTCGAGCCTGCGCACGACAACGCTCACTGTAAGAAAAAGAAGTTGCATGCGATATTATAATTGCGTGAAATGTGCACTCTGTTTCAGCCATCTCGAGGGCTTTAGAAACTTTACCTCATTTACTGACAGCAATAACTGTCCAACTGTACTCCTCCCGAACTCTTTAGCGTTGCCCATGTATCCATTCGAGCTCCTCCTTTGGCTTCTGCCACGACATAAGGCAAAGGATTCAGCGTGTGTGGTCGCGCCCATCAGTCATAATCTAGTTTGTGTTCCTTTGTGTTTTGTAGTCTACAGACGCAGCTGCGAATAAGCTGCGAATACTGCATGTACAACTCATGAGCCCGGTCGAATGCAACTAAATTTCGGTGGAGTTACGGTTACGCCTAACTACGGTTAGGCCTAGTGCCGTTTGATTCTAAACGGACAAAGGACGGCTTGTCTTACTAGTGGATTGGCTCTTATAATTTCCTATCCTCTATACTGGAGCGACATGCACGACATTTTGATCAGCATGTCTTTATTTCAATTGATAGATTTGGTATAAACGACAGGCTACTGCCATATTTGAAGGTAATTTTTGTTGGGTTACTCTCCATTCTATCCACCAAAAATGGTAAAAAATTTCAAAATAAGTGTGTTGCATTGTATCGCGAATTTCTTGTACGACATGCTTAGCAGTGTGAATAAATATTTAGCTGTTTAAACATCAATGTAGGTCAGCGTTATCATTCACGTTTGAACACACGCGAACAAAACCATTTTTATTAGAACTTACCTGCATTCGCTAAACTGGCTCCTTATATAATCTTCCTTGGCAGCTTGATAAAGCTACTTTAGGTTTTGTAAATTAGCTTCAGCTGTTTGTGCCACGTTAGAAACTTGAAGATACACGTGTGTCACGCACTATTCGTGTCCCTGCAAC